GGGGGGCCGCGGGCCCAGGCGCGGCTGCGGGCGAGCGCTCAGCGCACGGCTGCCCGCTCCCCTCCCACCCCCCCAGCTGCTCCCAACTCTCCGCGCAGCTGAGTTGGGACAAGCGCAGACAAAAATCAGCAGATGTTTCAATGCTTTCTTTCGGAGCGACTCAATCCCAAGCCAGCTGTGCGCTTCCCAAAGGACAAGGACCCCCTCGGAAACAGAGAAACTGCCAAAGCAACAGGGTGTTTTCACAGAAGCACCCTTCACGAGCGGGGACAGGCTTTCTCCTCCAGCTAACAGCCTGGGAAACACTTTCTCTTTCTCTCTCTCTCGTGCTCAAGTTTATTAGTTGAGGCCACTGCAAGCAACGCACAAGGCTCAAGAAGTGCAAAAGCAAGGAGCGTTGCCCCAGTGCCTCCAGCTGGGGCAAGCGCTTGGCCAGCGCAGGTTTAAATTCAAGGGAAACGCACCCTTTCCACTAACTCCTTAGTGCAGGAACACTCATTTGTTCTTTAGCGCAAGCCCTGACAGCAGCTCTCCAGCTTCTCAGGTCTCCAGCTCCGATCCTGATGGATCTTTTTAATTGTTACGCCGGGAGAAAGCTAATCAGACTCCTTTGCATAACGCTCCGGAGAAGCACCCTCCTCCTCTCCCTGCAGGGCCTACAACGTGGCCGAAAGCCAGCTACAGAAGTTGAGCGCGGTGCTTTCTAAGCAACCAGCACAGAGCAAAGTCATTTGGTCTAGCGCTCGTCCCCTTAGCGGGGATTCTTCAGGCCCGAGGTAAGCCTGCTAGGACACCCCGAGCGGAGGCTTTCCTCGCAGACAGGAAAATCTCTTTCGTTACATCCAGGCACAGTCACGCAGGCAGGGGGGCAGCCGCGCCAGCAGTCCGGCAGGGTACGGAGCCGCACGAGGCATGCTGCAAGGTGGAAGCATGCAGCACAGCTATCAATTAACGAGCTGTTCTGGGAGCAGAACTAATCAATAGGGAGGACGCTGGCTGGTTTCGGACTCCCTGGGGCCTCGTAAGATACAAGCGCTGTCAAAAGGTTTAACCACAGCTGGAGCACGCAGAACGGCTGTCCCGCGTGGATTCGCCAGTGTCTAGCAAGGGTCGTGAATACTGCCTTTTTTGGAGGCATTAATGGGATCTCTCTGCTCTACTCCCATTTTCATGAAAGCTGTAATAAGTGGGTATCTTCAAGGCCTCAGGCCCCCTTTCAGTCCCACTGAAATCCACAAGTGGGCTCCAAGGCAATTATGGCAGAAGTGCACACTCACATGCACTGACATGCTCTGCTTCCTTTAGAAATCAAATTAAAAAAAGAAAAAAAAAAAAAAAAAATCAATCGCACCCTGGCAGAGCTCCACTAACTCCGTCCAACTCCACGCCAGCTCTCCAGAAAGCAATGGCACTGCACAGCCTACAAAACAAGGAGCAGGTGGAGCCTTCCAGACGAAGATCGCCCCTTTGAGCCAGCCGGGCTGGAGGAACGGCTGCACAAGCTATGGCAGGAAGGCAGCATGGCAATTTTCCATCCACAGGGCTAATTCATGCGACAGTCAGCAAACGGCGTAAAAGTTAGCACCTTTAAGAAACCGCTACCCTTCAGCCACGGCAGCACCTGGCCACGTGCCCACTTCTAGCCCATTGCGGCGTTCCAGTTTGCGCTGCGGTGTACTTGGAGCCGCGCAGAGGCAGTAACTTCCACCTATGACTGCCTGCCAGATCTCGGGATGGAAAACCCCCAGCAAAGCAGGGACAGAAACTCAGCTCTGCTCACAGGCTGAGGCTTATTAACAGCAACAGCTTCCCCACCATACTTTGGGCACACCTTGCTTCCAAGACCTTTTCCATCCTAGTTTGAATCCTTCCCATTAGGTGCTGTCAGAGAAGATAGAACTGGGTCTCTAGCATCTCTTCATCTTCTTCTGGAGCTGACTGCTCCCGAGAGCGTTTTTCTCCTGTTTTGTGCAGGCTAGCGGGCTTTACTGAGGCTACCAGCCAGGTAAGGTAGCACCTGAGCAGGTTATCTTCCAAAGCCACATGCTCCTCAAAGCACTGTTAGATCCTGCCAGAGATCCGCCACATTTCAGTGACCTCAAGGATTGTGCAAGGGAAGGAGCTACCTGTCCTTAAAAGTATCTCCAGAAGGAACACTGACCTCCTGCCACGTGCACTAGAAGCACAGAGAGCCCTGTAAAACCGCCCTCTTTCCTGGCAATGCAAAGTCAGCTCTTTGGCAGCCAAAGCTAAATGCATATTTGCTCTGAAGGGCAACACTGGCGCTGGAGAGCACCAGGAGAGAAGAAGAGAGCAGATAGGGACAGACACTGGTGAGGCCACACACAGGAAGAGTTGCCTTTGACTAGCTGGTGGTTAGTTCCTGTAGCAGGTGCTGCAGTAATGCCTACATGGGCTGAAAAGTCGGGTAAAAAGCAAAAGCCCTAGAAATCCCAGGTCTTGGGCCTGCCTGTGAGGGGATGGAGGCAGCAGAGACCAGTTATGAAGGACTGGCAATTCTGCCAGGTACAGAGATGCTCTCCAAGGGAATCTCCAAGGGCAGGACAAACAGAACGGGGCGAGTGAAGGGTATGGGGGGTAGAAGGTGACGGCTGTCAGTAAGCCAGTAAGCGCTCGTTCCTGCAGGGCTAAGAGCAGCCAAGCTGATTGATGGAGCAAACAGAAAGCAACAAGCCCAGACAGGCACCAGAAGGAAGATCCTGCCCAGACCAAACAGGGAGAGGACAGGAGCGAACAGAAAGAGAACAAAAGAGAGATTTGGCACCTGCCCAAATGTCATCCAATTAAGCCTGCGGCACAGTCAGGTGAGCAAGAAAACAGCAGGCACCGGCAGGCGTCCGAATGCCACGAGGAAGAGCTAATTCCACCCTCTCGCTGGCAAAGGAGAAAGCCGGGACTGGCAGAGACGTGCAGACAGGGCACGCAGAGGATGGGGAAGCTGTCAACAGATGAGACCAGGCTCCCATCACTGAAAGCAGGGCATTAATAACTCAGCATCACCTTGGCCCTGTCCTTTCAGGCATCTCTGAGCGCTCTCCAAAGAGCACCGGAGTACCTCTGCCTGCGTTCCCTCGGGAAGCAGTCGCAGGCAGCAAGGCCCAGCTCCTCACCCCTGCACATGGGGCGACACGTGCATGCATCTCTGATGCGTGCGTCAGGACTGGATTTGTATGCGCGTCTGCGGCGTGTGCCAAGAGCAGGTGCAACGCTTTGGCAGGCGGAGTGTTAATGATAGCTCGTGAGGTCCCACCAAGGTGGAGAGCAGGCTATGATCACCGGCCCCCTTCTCCTGTCCCACTCACTCCCCTCTTGCGAGATCCCCGTTGCGTGGGCTAGCAGAAGTGGCAGACAACCCTCCGCAGGACGCTCCCCAGCCAACGCTACCTGCTATTCTGAGCCGCGCTCAGTCTCTTTGCTCTCTTCTCCAGCCAGTCCTCGATGGTGCCAGGCGGGACATCTGCTCCTTCCTGCCGCAGCTCCTTCGATCTCTGCTCCCCTGGTTGAGAGAGCGTTGTCAGACGCTCGCCCTGCAGTTCTCTCACTCCATTAAACCCATTGCTCATTACCCTGCATAGTTTCTTATAGTTGAGAGTTTGCAATTTGCTCGTGGTAGCCCCTCCTCCTCCCCTGCCCACCCTCCATCCGATGCTCAGCCTCTCTCGGCTGACAGCGCCAGCCAGAGCCGGGGAATGAGAACCAAGCCAGCGAGCGCGGCGGCAGTTTAGGCACTTAACTGAGGGCAGCCCAACATCTCCCCCCCGGGGTAGACCGTCCTCATCCTCGCCTGAACCACACAGCCTCTGCTGGCCATGAGCCCTGAACGCTTTCCAAAGTCCTGTCCCTCCAATTGGCAGGAAGCATCCTGCCACCACGGCCCAGTTAGGTGGGAGTGACGAGGACGGCCGTCCCGATCGATGCGGACTTGGCAGGCCGCGGGAGTCTGAAAGGTGCAGAGTGCATGCGCAACCAAGAGACCGGATTTCAGAGACGCTGTCAGATCTGTTTAAGGCACACACTGCGCGACGCGTCCTCGGCTCCTGCAGAAGCAGAGCGGGAGGCTGTCCCCTAGCCCTGCTCGGGCTGGGTACAAAACCCCAGCTCCAGCCCCACCTTTCTGGGGCACTGCAGCACGCAGCGCAGCGAGGGAAGGGAAGGCCTGCCTGCGTTCGCTCCGTGCACGTTGCAAACGAGCAAGGCAGCACCCACGATGAAAGCCCTGCTGCCCACCAAGCGACAGGCAAAACGCAGAGCAGCCACAGGTCCTTTCAAGCTTGTGACCCCTCCACACCCTGCGTGGGGCTGTTCTGCCAGGCAGGCAGATGCTCTCAGGCCGCCCCTCCTGCAGCACTGTCCTCTCCTGGCAGACTAGCACAGAGCCAGCGAGGGCAGCCCAGCATTCACCCAATCCCATACCCAGTGGAGAAATCCTCAGCTGTCCTGCTAGCAAAGTCTCCGGTCCAAAGTCCCTCTCAATGCCACTGACAGAGCAGAAAGGGGCGCTAGCACACAACAGGGTCTAGCGCTCGTCCTTGATGCAAATGACACGGTCATATGCCTGACAGCACGTCAGGCAGAGCTGGCTGGAGAGATGCTCAGAGCTGTTAGTCTCCAGCCTGGTGGAAAGTTCCCACCTAACAAAAGGGAAACGTGACACTTCTAAAAACAAACACACACACACTGGTATTAATAAAAAGGAAGCCAAGGCAGCTGTATGTCATTCCCCTGCGCCCTAGTCAAACCCTCCAGGGACAAGCACCTTGCAGGAACCCTGATATCTCATTCAGGCATCAACCTGCTGGCAGTGCCACTGCTGGTGACAGCCACCTGCAGCCGTGCCCACCAGGAGCCTGCACCACATCTACCCAACATATATCACATGTGTAAGCAAAATATTAGATGTTTCCAGACAGGGTGTGAAATTAATATTGCTTGGGCAGAGTGAGGGATCACTTCATCCTAGCAGTGGCAACCAATTATTCATCTGCCTGTTGAATATTAATAAGGATGACAGAAACGTGCTACACAATGAGCAGCCGGAGATGGATAATTTGTCATCCAGCCTTTTCATCTGCTGCTGCTGCTGCGGGGGGTGACGATGTACTCCCTGTCACCACAGAGGAGGCCGGCTGAGGTCCTGCTGTCCAGGTGCTGCTCTGCAACCCAGGGATAAGGATGCGGGTTGGAGGCAGGACAGTTCAGGTCTCCTACAGTTGCTCCCAGGGAGCAAAGCCCCAGCAGAGCTATTCAGGGTCAAAGAGAGCAATACTTGGCCCAAATCAGCAGCCTTGTCCCCGGTTTCTCCAACTAGTGAGTGACTGGGGCACTTCCCTATCTCAGCAGAGGGGACAAGCAGTGGTTTTGAGATGCTTCAATAAGACAGGGAAGAAAATCACAGAATAAAACTTCTCCTACCTCTACCTACTATGAGCATTTCCTTTGCATCCCACCCCACGCCCCAGTGCAGAACAGACTGGACTCTGCCGAAGCATCTCTGCTCAGAGCAGGGACCCACGGGACCACTGTCCCCAAAGTGCTGCAGCAGTCACAGGCGGGAGCCCGCAGCCTCGAGCAGCCCCAGCACGGTTTCTCAGCACACCCCTCAGCCAAACCAGCTCACTGGCTGCGGTGGAACGATTCCAGACTTACGCTGGCCTAAATGAGGCCCCAGGTGTCCAGATTAGAAAGACATCCAGCTGGCTACCCGTTCACTCAGATCCACGAGTTACTGCTCCAAAGCCTCAGGCAGAGAAATAAGGCAGTAGGTAGCGGAAACGTCTGGCTCTATCCTTGACACGTGCCCATTAAAAAGGCAAATCTCTCATCCCATCTTCCTCTGAAGCACACTTGCCCCAGCCAGGGACCACCAAAACCACCAGTGGACGGGAGGCGCTCCCCAAATGTCGTTAGATAATCCAAGATCTAATCCTGAAACACAATTACCAGCCCTTAATCCCCCCCCAGACAATCGCGCTGCCTGCCAGAGGGCAGCGGCAGCAGCCAGGCAGGTGTGAAGGCCCTGCCCCCCTCCTTCTAGCTGGGGTGTTTGCTTCAAAGTCTAATTACAGCCAATTAAAAGAGCGGCTGTAGTCAGTGAAGTGCCTCTCTAACGATGCCGGAGTGGGATTCTAGATTTATCTTCTCTCCCTGTGCAACTTTTAGTGCAAGCTTGCTCTATTAAAATAAATAAACTTTAAAAAAAAAAATCAGCTTTTGGCTTGCGAACTGCCTCAGGTGGGATACCCAGCCTGGCCCAAGGAGTCAAGACGCATCTTCCTGAGTGACCGCATGGTGCAAGAAGAACGAGGTCAGAACCTGAACCTTCGGCACCGAGCAAGTCACCCAGGAGCCAGATTTACATGCAATCCTTCGACTCCCTCCCCAGGCAGCCCGAACTCCTCCGGCTCTCCTCGGGAGCGCACGAACAGCAGCGGGCTCTCAGAGGAGACCTTGATGAGGCCCTGCAACACGAGAGGCTTCGGAAGTTACTGCCCCACAGCCAAGAAGTGGCAACCGATTGCAAGAGCGCTCCTTAGCTCGCGGCTAAGTTAAAGTAGGCAACACCACCCACCCCCAACAGGGCCGCTCACGTTCTCCGAATCGCACAAATATACGGCCAACGCTCACCCAACTGTGCCCTTATTCCCCTCCCAGCAGCTCTGGCTAGCTGGAGCTAACCGAAGAGGCTGGCTTGTGCCAATACTACAGCCAGAAGTGACGCAGATTAGCAGGGAGCCAATAACTTAAGCAAGAAGATGCTAATTTTACAGTGACTTTTCCTGACACGACTGTACTTAAAATGACAGTCTGGAAGTGTCTCACTGATGAATGATGCAGCAGATGCAGAAGACTAATGCGCTGATGCGGTAACAGCTGGGAACATGCCTCCCTCCCTGCTGAAGGTGGAAACTGTTGCTTCTTTCAGAGTATATTCCAGGGGCACAGAATTGCCAAAGCCAAACTAGGACAAGTTCTAAGTTGTCATAAAGCAACAAATGGTCCAGAAATTCCCCTATTTAACCCATAAGGCTAACACAAACAACACTGAATTCCCTGCATTAAAAAGGCCAAATGTCAAAAATAAGGCAGAAATTCCTTTGACTGTCACAAAGCGCATCGTTAGCAAAGGGAACTCGCTGCCACAGAACTACCAACACTGAACACTTAACAGGGATTCGGGGACAGATTCAATGTCAACGAGATGTAGAAGTGCCATCAGCACTTAGCAGTGTTTTAAAAAAAAAAAAAAAGTCAGAAAGGGCTTTGCCATGCTTCAGGATGCAAGCCCAGCCCTGAAGATGGGTAAAGAGACAGGCTGGTCCATACCAGTTTACTACAGGATTTCTTTGCACCTTCTCCTGAAGCGACTGGCCGCTTCTGGGGACGAGACTCTGATCGCAGCCCCTGGATAAAAGGGGAGTCCCAGGTCCAGCACAGCCCACCAGCTCCTGTGCTTCTGCACCCATGCAGTGGAGCAGAAGGAAGCAGAGTTAAGCAGCACTGCAGATCCACCAAGAAACTGCCCTCTTTTACCCCGTCAGAGGTAGCCACGTGCATCTTGGTCACGCAAGGCTCTGCACAAAACGGAGAGAGGGCCCTGGAGCTTTCAGTCTCTCCATCATCGCAGCCACAGCTCATCTCAAGTCCCAGGTTGTGCAGCCAGACCACCCCAGGCTGCAAGCCTGTCAAAATCACCCGAGGCACTGCAGGTTCAGAAGAGTATTTGGATGAGAAATCTCCGAGGACATTGATAATTCAGTAAGAGGCAGTTTGATCCAGGTCACTGGTCTATCCTGTACTGTATCATCTCACTGGCAGTGGCCTGTGATGCCTCAGAGCACAGGAACACCAGGACTAGATGCTAATGGATATAAGGACACTCTACAGAGGTGGCTGACAGACAGGCTACAAGGATCAGCAGTCTGCTGTATGACTAATGCAACCTGTAATCCCTCCTGCCATCATACAGTCTTCCCTTCCTTAAATTCCATGAGAAACAGATGCCTCAATAGCTTAAGGAATGGCAAAAAGTCCCCATGACACATCTAACGGTGGCTTGGCATTTGCAATTGCTCATTCTGTCCAGTCTGCCATGTTATGGACTCCGCCTCTTTTCCATCCCCTCCTGCTGAGCTCTTCTCTCCACCAAATCCCTTTAAGCTCTCTGCAGGCTCAGCTGATCAGATTTTGAGGTCTGTGTGATCCTCAGCCAGCTCACTTGGCTCATACAGGACTTCCATGGAACAACACTGCGAGAGAGGTGAGCGGGATTTGACTCGACAACCAGGCACCCCTGTTCTAGTTAGCGCAGCCAAGGATGAGACACCCTGCTGTCCCCCTGGCCATCGCTCCTTGAAGTGTAATTGTTTAATTAAATGTTTGACTTGGTAATATAAAGGCAAGTATCCAAGTAAGATTTCCAAGTAATCTCCCAGGAATCAGCACTCTCACTTGCCAATTCTCCACTTACATCCGACCCATCTGACAGAAGTCAATAATCAATAACAAGTGTAACTGGCAAAAAAACCTGCCCAAGAGCGGAAGAGCTTGCCAGCGCCTTCCCCTGCAGCTCTGCTCTGCTCCAAAGAGCTTTCACTTTCCCTGCAATAAACAGCCTTCAATGACTGGAAACTCTACAAGCTCCTGCAAATAGCCCAACTTCCCCTGCCACCTCCCAGGAGCCAGCGCTTAAAACCCCGCAGCGGAGAAGGGTTACAGAGAGGCTCTGTGCAAGCAGCGGGGAGGAGAAAAAGCGAGACTGCCAGCCAGGCGCTGCCTCTTCAAGAAGGGCTCGCCGGAGAGCTCTGTTTCCCATGCAGCCCAACTACATGGGTTTTATTGACTGCCAGCATTGTTCAGCAATTGATTCACGGAGTTGCCTTGGGGACTTGCACACTGAGGGTGTGTGAGCAGCAAGGGCTGGGATAGCTTTGTAGCGCCTTCCCAGCCTTGCCTCCCCCAACCTGATCCCACTAAAGGCCAGGAGAGAATCGCTGCACCCCTAAATCTCACACCACACACCCCAAAATCTCACATGTATGCACACACATACTTTCAACAGCCTGCTCTCGCCAGGCTACTGGCAAAGCAACGCTTGGCTTCAGCCAGGAGCGCAGGCGAGAGATCAGCTCGTAAGCTGGGCTGCCCTCGGGAGAGCACTGCCATTTTTTTCACTGCCAGCAGGTCGAGGAAGGTGATTCCTCCTCTCTACTCAACGCTGGTGAGGCCACAACTGGAGTGCTGTGTCCAGTATTTGGCACCCCGGTACAAGACAGACATGGACTCACTGGAATGAGTTCAGTAAAGGGCCATGATGATTAAGGGACTGGAGCCTCTGTCTGTATGAGGAGAGGCTGAGAAAGCTGAGAGGCAGAGGCAAGAAGGCTCAAAGGGGAATCTTGTCTATGTGTATATGTCTCTGGGAGGAAAGATGACAGAGCCAGATGCTTCTCAGTGGTGCTCAGTGAAAGGACAAGAAAAAAAATGTGCACAAATTGAAATATAGAAAATTCCATTTAAACGTAAGAAAAAACTTTTTTATTCTAAGAATGGACAAATACTGGAACAGGCTGCCCAGAGAGGTTGTGGAGTCTCCATCCTTGGAGATATTCAAAACCAGACTGGACACGGTTCCAAGCAACCTGCTGTAGCCGACCTTACTTTAAGCAGAAGGGTTGGACTACATAATCTCCAGGGGTCCCTACCAACCTCAACCATTCTGCAAGTTCTCACCAACACCTCACTCATGGTTTCTCTAACCACAGAAGTAAATAGAGCTGCCCTTCCTTGTAGGGCAAGGAGGCAGTCCTCCCAGGGTAAAAAAAAGTTCCAAAGACCTCCCCAGACTCAGGACAGGGGAGAAGATGCCAGTCATCTTCTGTCCAAACTTCAGATCCATCCTAAGCCACATGAGTAGAAGCATTTCTGAATTCATGACCCCACAACCTCTCCTCAGGATAACCCAACTGACAGCTGGCTAGTTTTTCCCAAAACTGGAAGCAGTAGCTCCAGGTAACAGTATGGGGTAGGAGAAAATCAGATCTATAAATTTAAGGGGAAATGATGAACCAGTGCCCTCTGCTGCTGACAGTTTTTATTCCCTGACTGAACAAAACCCCGAGGGCTCAGAAAGCCCACTCTGCTTCAGATGCTTGCTGCCAAGCAGTAGCAGCACAGCTCACTTCTTTATGCCTGTGTCTGTGCCAGCAGATAAAGAACAGAAAGCATCTGGAAAACTGCAGCACTCACAGCCATGCGACAGGCTCACATAGCAATGAGAGGCAGGCAGGAAGGATCCACGCTCAGCTTGCTGCACACGCACAACACAGGACCACAGACTCCCACGGCGCAACCTCTCCTGCACCCCTTTGCACCCCCACTCCCTGCAGCAACTCACGGTCCTCAGAGATCCCTGGACGTTTTCTTGTTCCAGGACTCACCTTGCACCTGGGCACTCAGCTTCTCCAGGTCCTGCTCCGTCATGTGGGAGAACCTGCAGTTGGACCCAAAATCACACTGTCCTGGAACAAAAGCCACACAGCTGCGTAAGAGCTTCCCATGCACAAGGTCCTCCCATGTAAACGTGCATGCAAATCGAGGCTGATCCATTACCCAGGACATTACGCGGGGCACAGGCCCCAGCCCCTCTTCATTCCCTTCAAGGCAGACACACATACCAGGGCTCTCCAGAACAGCCTTGAATTGGCCCCCAAAGGAGCTGCTGTAGCTCAGCCAGTTATTTCTACCTCAGAAGAACTGACCTGTTTGCAGGAACTTCCGGCAAGGTTTCTTGCTCTGCTCCTCTTGCAGAATAGAAGCAGCATCTGGGGGAGACAAAGGACAAACCACAGAAGAGTGTTAAGGCCTCTCGTGCACTAATGCCCCATCATATATCATTATATGGTCCCACACAGGTCAGCTGCTTGATAGGAAGCTATTTTCCACAATAACCAAGAACTTAAGCAACTGAAAACTTGGCCAGTGAAATGGTCCTTCACCTGCTGGAGAAGTTCTGCAAAAAGCGAGCCCCAAGGATATAGCAGCTCCCACAGATTGTAGAAGAATCTGCACTGGCTGATGCCAGCCCACAGAGACTGGAGACAAATGGAGATGAACCCCCCTACCCAGGACCGGGAGGAGGAATTAACTCAATCCAAAAAAAAAACCCCAACAACAAAACCCAACAACAAAACGCACCAATGGTGGCAGCCTGTTAAAAAGGAAAGTACTAGGCAATCTGCCTTGCCATCACTGACCCAGATAGGACTCTGCTGGGCTGGGGCTGTTGGTCCCTCCACATTTGGCTACTAGGAACAATCTTCCAAACTTCTATATCTCTTTCGGGGATCTCTAATCAAGCTGCCACATCCTCACCCTCTCTGACAGCCACCCTCAGAAGTGACTTCTCCACCCTGTGCAGGGACCTGCTACCAGCTTCCCGCCCTGTCCCATACCGTGGGCATACACACTGCCTGCCAGCCTGCTTCTTCCAGGCACATGCATGCACACCCCTACCTTGCCCCTCTCATGTCAGAGATCAACTGTGGTTTGCACAGAGCACCTAACTCGCCTTCACAAGCTATAGCTCACTTCGTTTTGTCAGCTCTCCTGTCTCAGATTTGCCACTGCTGCCAGGAGAGCCTCCTCTGCAGCTCCTGTTCTCAAAGGCAACCTCCTAAGCTCTTCCACCTCATTTCAAGTCCCAGCTGATGTCAAAAATTTCCCCTTCCCAGATCCAGTTACATGAGGGTTCTGCCTCTCAGGTAGCCTGACAGAGACCACATCAGGTCCACAGTTCACTGACATATACAATTCTGAATATAAATTACTTGTGCTGATTTAGTTTTATCCCTCTGCCCACCCTCACCTCATCTGCCACCTCCCCGGTTCCAGAAAGGAAGTGGCAAACAACTGGTGGTACCCACCTCGGAACAAGTCATACCAGACTCGCTTAGCCCTGAGATGCTGCACTCCGTTGAGGTGTTTCTTCCTGTTGTGAAGGTTATCCTGAAAGGACCTGTCACAGTAATCACAGAAGTATCTTTTCCCCATTTCTCTTCTGGCAGAATGGCATCAGTGTGGCCTGGGATCCATCAGACAGCTCCTCGGTGCCCAGCCATGGCTGCTCTGGGAATGGAGAAGCACACGCCGAAGGATCCAAAATTTACAGCTCCTGCTTCCAAAGGAGAACTCAAATCATTTGGGGTTGGCAGACAGAGGAAGAGGTGAGACCTGATAATATGCACTCTTGTCCATCAGACCAGCAAGGCAGTGTCTGCTGTATATACTTGGGCGAGCAGGTTTGGATCTCCATTTCTGATCTCTGTTACCCAAAGCCAAAACAGCTCTGCTAAAAGAAAATTCTCCTTCCTTGAGCATGATGGAGTTCAGACCACACGAAGCAGAGATCCCAGAGGGCCAAGTGCTCCCAGCCATAGGTGGGTCAAGAGGCCTACTACACCAGGGAAGGTGGCAGCAGAAACCATCTGACGGGCAAGCAGGAGGAGCCAGAGGCCCATGCCACAGCCTCCAGCTGGGGCCCCAGGAATTTAACCCTGGCCTACAGCCAACCCCCTCAAGCTGCCCTGCAGGAGGAAGGAAATTCCCCCATGTCCATCTCTGCAAGGTAAGGAAGAAACTCAGGAACTCCTCAAAGAAGATAAACCAGCTGCTCTTGCCTAGCCATGCACTGCAAGTGGTATGCTGCATTGAAAACACTAAAAGAAGCAGAAAACAGCTTACAGTCACGTGCAGTCCTGCTCCCATGGGCTGTTCTTGCTGGAGGCGCCATGGAGAAGCTTACCCTGTGGTAGCTCTAAGTTCTCTCCCTTGTGATACAAGGGTAGCTTATAAACGCCAAAGATGGATAGACTGCTAGATAAACTCCAAAAGCAATTCTCCAGTTTTAGACACCTTGACAGCCAAATGCGTTTAAAAAATGGCACGGAGACCAGCGCAAGAAATAAAGATTTTATAAATAAATCAGGGTCAGAATCAATCACAGCCTACCTAAAGGACTCCTCAGAATCAGCAGG